AGGTACTTAGTTATTAGTTTGTACAATCCTGTAAAGGTATTTCGTTATTAGTTTGTACAATCTTGTAACGGTACTTCGTTATTAGTTTGTACAATCCTGTAAAGGTACTTTGTTAACTGCTCTTTACAATAATGTAAAGCTACTTCATTATTAGTCTTTATATTAGTAACGGTACTTTCTTAGTAGTCTTTTCAATAATGAAAAGATACTTCGTTATTAATCTTTCCAATAATGTGTGGTGTTTAGTGACCGTTACTTGGTGATTATTTGGAGGTCGTAAGATCACCAGACCGCATCTCACGACCTCCAAATAATCTTTCCAATAATGTATAGGTACAATGATATCGGTATTTAGAAAAATTTAAAGCTGCTTCTATAATAGTCTTTACAATAATGTAAAGTTAGTTCGTTATTATTCTTGCCAGTAATATAAAGTCACTTGGTGATTAGTCTTTACAATAACGCAAGGTACTTCGTAGAATAATGTAAGAAATACTTGTACTTTTTTGAAAGACAGTTCTGCTTATAGACTGTTTTAAGTATTTAATACACGTAATCCGGATAGCTGTTTAAAACAGTCTGTGAGTAGAACTATCTTTTCCAAAAATAAATTGCCACCATACTCACCACACCTCAAATCAGTTCGGAAATTTCTTTTATTATTAGATCTTAAAAATGTGACGTTACATTGTTACTTGCCATTACAATAATTTAACGGAACTATGCTACCAGCCTTCACATATTGCAGTCATTGTTTTGTTACTAGCTCGTAAAGCTACATTGTTACTAGTCATTATAATAATTTAAAGGTAGGGCGTTACTAGCTTACACACATTACAGTCTTTGTTTTGTTACTAGCTCGTAAATAATGTAAAGTTACATTTTAACTAGACATTATAATAAATTAAAAGAAGTACGTTACTAGCTTTCATAGTAGTCATTGTGTTGTAGGTACAAGGTACATTGCTTCTAGCCTTTACAATAATATAATAGTATTTGTCAATCATCATTACATTAAGGTGAAGGTATAATGTCAGGAGCCTTTGCTATAATGTAATGATATTGTCACTGGTCATTACAATAATGTAATAATGTACAAAAATGACCATCTTGATCTTTCCAAAATTATACAATAGTTTAAAACAACCGTTAAATTGTTTTAATATCATAATTCGTAGAAATCGAAGTCACGATAGCTCAAATGGTTAGAGGAGCAGCGGCGTATTGAGCCGAAGGTCGTGGGTTCGAATCCCGCTCGTCACACTAATTTTTCATCTCAACTAAAAACTTTAGATAAAAAGAATAATTAATTGGAATAAAACTATACTTTTAAAAAAAGTAGTATGTAAACAATATACTTTTTTATTGCGAATTTTTAACGATTCGTGATGTTTTGACAATTATTAATTATGCACAGGCATTATTAATCCTATCTTTATTAAAATCCCGAGGGATGTTTCAGTGAAGGATGGGGGTAGGGTTTTACATTAGAAAGATCCCATATGTTATGATTTACATCCAACAGCAGATGTTCCGGACCGCTCTCATCACCCCAGAAATTGAAATTTATGTTAATACCGTCACATACCACTCCAGTTTTCCTTACTTATAAAAAGGAACTCGCCTTTCTTTTCCCCAAGACTCTTCAGACTGAAAAAGTGTAATGCATAAAATATTAAGGAAACTAAAAGGATTTCGTTTAAAACATGATAATAAACTTCATGTTTATTAAAACAAGAGAAGTTTAATAAAACAAGTCGTTTTTTTTTTTTTTTTCAATTTTGAACTCAAATATTGCCAAACTTCGACGATCGATTCCTGACGAAAATGATTTTGAGGTAAATACATCGTTGCAAGTTTCCGAACATCATTAAAATTATTTAGACCACGCTATCAGTCGTTACGGAGCAGGGCATGGCAGAGGAGTGTGGGGTCGTGAAACTAATTTGTTCCAGGAAGTGAAGACGCTTAGGGCAACAATTGGGATGGGATACAATATTCTGAAGCTTCGGTGGGCTTAGGATGCCTTCCTAGACCCGTTTGTTCCTTACCAAATCTAATTCGCTTTAAAATACAATCATTAAAGTGAATCATCTGGAATTTTTGACAGTTTGGTTCCGGGACTCGTCCGTGTGCGGTTTAAGAGTAGGTGGTGGACGCTTGCGTATGACCATTATTCAATAAAAATATTCGGAACCCGTTTTCCTTATTTCTTTCCTTACCACTTTCAGCCAAGTATTAAATTTAAACATTTGCGACATGGGCTTGGAGCAAAATTCTTGAGCACACCTATAATCGCAAGTCAGAATGGCAAACTTCGCGAATTGAATGGCTGGTTAGAAGAAGATCGTTTTGATAGACCGATCTGATGATTTATCAGACTTGATTGCATGCCATATGTCAGAAATAACACAAATTAACATTTTTTCCTGACGGGCAATCAGACGTATAAAAAAATACTTTAACTTTCAGGAAATAATTTCATTCGAACTGAAATTTTGGCAATTATCAGTGAAACTGAATGTGTGCAATGAGACAAATACACCTGCAATAATTGCCATTACTCATGAAATGTCCAGAAGTACGATATTTCTTTTAGAAGGTTCAAATAAAATATTGATCTCTTAATCCTGGGCCATAAAATAACATAAACGTTCTTTTTTTTACTATCTCTTAAATAATGTAAAGATACTTGTCACTGGGCTTTTCAATAGTATGGTACTTTATCACTGCCAATTACAATAATGACAAGATGCTTCGTTGCTAGCCTTAACGTTATTACAATAATACTTTTGTTACCAGTTCCTCAACCATGTAAAGGAACTTTTTGAAACTTTCTAGATGCTATTGGTCGTGAATCATTATCTATGCAATAATTCAAAGTTACTTCCATATTAGTTTTTATTTCAATTAATTATTCTTGTTATGTAAGCTCTTGGTTGAGATAAAAACGTCAGCGTCATGAGCGGGATTCGAACCCACGACCTTCGGCTAGATATGCCGCTGCTCCACCACTTGAGCTATCGTGAATTCGATCACCTCGGGCACTAACTTCCCATCTCAACCGCACCTTTTGAATTTTCCCTCCTTTTTGCCATTTTTCAAATGTCGTGTAATCTTATTGGATTCTCGGCGACAAGTGAAATGGCCACGAAGAGTTTTAGTGAAGTCTACTTCGTTTTAATCCTTAAAATTCACAATTTTTCGTCGTCCGCTTGACCAATTAATATCTATCAACTAATTAAGGTTTTTAGTTGAAAAATGGCAAAAAGGAGGGAAAATTCAAAAGGTGGGGTTGAGATTGGAAGTTAGTGTCTGAGTGGATCGAGGTCACGATAGCTCAAGTGGGAGAGCAGCGGCGTATTGAGCCGAACGTCGTGGGTTCGAAGCCCGCTCGTGACATTGACTTTTTTACTTCAACGAAGACCTTACATACAAACAATAATTAAATGAAAGAAGTAACTTGGTCAGTTGACTAAAACATAAATGGATTAGTCTTTATATTAGTAAACGTACTAACTCATTAGTCTCTCCAGTAATGTAATGGAACTTCATTATTAGTCTTTTCAGTAATGTAAAGGTATTTCGTCTAAAATAGTGTAATGGTGCTCCATTAATAGTCATTACAATAATGTAAAGGTATTAGACTTTACAATAATGGAAGGTACTTCGTTATTAGTCTTCACGTTAGTACTATCAATGTAAAGATATAATAACACAACATTTTAAAGTTTAAACACAGTAACAAAATATTTGCAAAAGATTGCTGGTATTTACAATAATGTAAATGCACAATATTACTAACCTTTACAATAAAGCTAAGGTAGATTATTTCTATTATAACTATCGTGTTCCCACTGGCCAATAAAATACTGTACAAGTACTTTGTTTCTAGCCTTTACAATAATACAATCGTTATCGTGTACAATAATATTAATTTTTCAATTAATTAATATTTATGAAAGGTATTGGTCGAGATAAAAAAGTCAGTGTCACGAGCGGGATTTGAACCAACGATCTTCGGCTAAATACGCCGCTGCTCTACCACTTGAGCTATCGTGACCTCGATCCACACGGACACTGGATCTAGGTCACGATAGCTCAAGTGTTAGAGCAGCGGCGTATATCACCGAGACGCTGACTTTTTTATCTCGACCAATACCTTTCATAAATATTAATTAATTGAAAAATGTTAATTGATCAATCGGACCACGAACTGTAATGGAATAATATTAATATTAATGCCAATAAACCTTTTTTCCATCACTTGATTAATCTCATAAAGTTTAAAAAAATATGACTCCACGAATCCTGCGCTTTGTGTGTCAGTTCGAGCAGTTTCATTAGAAAGTAAATGAAATATGATTTGAAATTTACATAAAATTAAAGACGCCAATACATTGCTTCAACGGAACCGATTCAAATTTATCTTGGCGCTTTGTTCCGCTATGAAAAAGCACTTTTGAACTATACAATAAAAAATATACCACTCGATTTAAAATCTACGTTAGATACATGACAATTTGCAATTTTTTTATTTGAGAAAAATGATACATTTAAGATATCTGCAATATATCCCGTCCATTCGATAATTCGTTATTTTATTTATTTATTTTTACGAGGGTTCGCAACGGCAGAGGTCTTACCTCCGCTAAAAAAAGCCCATTTGTAAGTATGTCGGGTTCGAATGCTGGGCCGCTGGCTGGATTAGAACCCGGGACACCTTACAGTGATGAACGCCTTGTCAACGCCTAAACCATTGCGTCCACCGACGACCTACAGAATAAAAGTTTAAAACTCGCGTTCGAACCCGGAAACTTCACCTTACAGAGATGGGTGCCGTCACAATGACTAAACCGTTGCGGCTACCGACGCCCTTAATAATTCATTGTTTTCATAAAAATTTTATGAGATAAAGGATTTCAGAAATGTTTTGACAAAACAATTAATTTTAAACTAGTACAACATGCATGAAAAGCTTCGATGAGGAATTTTCTTACCTGTGGTTGGTAGCGAAGTGGATACGGAGGGGATGCGGTGAGGTCGATCTCCTGAGCCGGCGGTGGTTCTCGACAACCTCAGCCGTGTCGAAAACGGCCGGCTCATAGTGGCGGATGAACTCGCTGAGAACGAAACCTGCAACACCAACAACAACAACAAAATGAAAAAATACAACCTCATAACTGCATCATTGCATTTAAAAAAGTGATAAAGCCCCAAGGTCGAAACAAAAAGCAGAAAACAAGAAGGACCTGTAACTATAAGTTCGCACACAAAAAGTCCACATTATCTTGTCTTACCCATAACGGAAGCGAAAGAGTGGAAGAACTAACGTCATGTCAAGGAAACAGAACACAGGAGAAGACAAAAATTTAAAAAATATGGAGGACCTCTCAACTCCAAATTTTAACATGTCATGATACCCTAGACTATCGATGGCGCATATCTGTCTATCTAAAGACACTTAAGGACAGCAGTACGACCGCTGGTTGTTCGTTTATGATTATTTTGGCCAGATTTATATAAATTGCATATAAATATATTTGAACTATTACACGCATGTTCTTTCGGTGATAACTTCATATCAAGAATCACTCATATCGAAAAATGTTGGCGAATTAAAGGAAAAGCAAATGGATGAAAACAAGAAGGACCTCACAAAGGACCTCTCAACTCCAAGCTTATAACTTGATCATCTTGACCTTTCGGTCTGTTAATGTTAAGCCATGTCAAGCTTAAAACAGTACAATTGCATTTAACACCTACTTTATAAACCTGTAGCTTTATGGCTATGATCAGTCCGATGCATTTCAGCTTTTCGCTCTTCATAGATGTGATTGTGACGGTACCTCTCCATACTTATAACCCTAGCCAACGAAGGGAGACCTCACATTAACGGTCAACCATTCATCAGTCATCAGAGGAAGAAGTACCGAGGAATAACCAATTTGAAGATGAAAAATTCACCCATCTACCAGGCGAAATATAACAAGACAAATTACCGGCTAGGCGCAAACCCGTTCCTCGTCACCCTTCACTTTAACGTCACCTGCTGAGGACGTGTTCAACCAGAATCGAACATTGTATTTCTTCATAAGCATCGATATGCGATACAACCCCGAGGGAACATCCAAACATAAACAGACCAAAGAGACATCAAACATCAAGAAACTATAACAAAAACGACACTTTGTCTACCAATATCATACCTTTAAAATCCCAATTTTGATAAATTTATAAAAATAAACAGTCTCAAGAAATTGTTTTATTTAAACAATTATTAAGATTATTAAAATCTTACCCTTTTTCAAAAGACACATTTTTGCAATACATTTATAGATTATTTAGAGATCGTGACATGCGGTCTGGTGCGATGTAGGTTTAGAAAAACATTTTCTTTATCGTACCAATTTTTCTCTCATTATTGAGCCCTTCAGGACCTGGGTTTTATAAATTGTTTAAATTATACAATGATGTACACAATGATTATTTGGAAATTGTGAAATGTGGTTTGGTGTGACGTAGGTTTTAGAAAAACATTTTCTTCATCGTGCCAAGTTTCGATCTTTATTCAGATCATCTTCAGAGCTCAAAATGTTTGTTTTCTGGGTAATGTGTCATTCTTGATTGACTCCCAACACGACACGCAAAAATGGCACAATTACACAGAAGACAAACACTTTGAGCCCTGAAGATGATCTCAATAAAGATCGAAACGTTGGCACGATAAAGAAAATGTTTTTCTGAAACCTACATCACACCAGACCGCATCTCGCCATTTCTGAATAATTATCGATTAACGGTCACTAATAACCACTCAAATTCCAAAATTGAACATACATTAAAATTTTAATAAAACATGCAATTGACATCATTTCATTTGAAAGAATATAATTTTGTGTAGATATTAATTAATGTCAGTTAATTAATATCGTACGTCGAACTGTCACTGTTCTTGACAATATATAATTATGTTCATTTATTTTACAAGCACATTTCCAACAAAATCAATCTGTCATTTTTTATATGTTATGTTATATTAAATAAAACAATCTTTTAGAAAATTAATTAGCACACTATCGATTTCAAATGGACCTATAATTAGACGAACCCACTTATTCAATGTAAGTATTTTGTTACTAAGTCTGGAGTGTTAATTTACAATTAAATTGATGTTTGGTTTTAATCAATCAGCTAAAACTATATTTGGTGATAATACCGGCCTAATGAAGGAATAGCCGATATTAATAGGATGTGTGTGGTTTTTGGAAAGCAAAATTTCCAAACTAATTTAAGTAACCAAAATAGAATGGGAAGGAGAGAAACCACCCCATTGAGAACGGCACCATCTGCTGATACATTGAAGGATGTGCGCAGGAGTGAGCCCTGGAACCAAATACTCAAAACCCATGAGCAAATACACCAGTATTTTCAGGCTGCATTCCATGCAATTGAGAGCTGTACCTGGTTGAACTTATACAAAGAGTAAAAAAATCAAGAATATAGCTCTCATGTCAGATAACCCTGCAGCCATCAAAGCACTAAGTTCATACATCATTTGCTCAAAGATATACTATACTGTATTGCAAAACTAAACTAAAGGATGAGGTATGCAAAACAAAGTCTCTCTCTGCTGGGTATAAGGATATGTAAATAAGGGCAACGCCTTTCAGACAACCTGATTGGTCTTGAGCCCTTCCGTAGCATACGGAATCTCACTATCAATGACAAATTGGAAATGAGGAAACAATGGAATTCTCATTGGACATAAACAATCCAAGAACCTTCTAGCCAGTTTTGGTAAGGAAGCAACAACAGAATGGAAGTAAAAAACTTCGAATCCTAACAGGATTTTTGACAGGACACTGCAGGCTGAAAGGGCATCTGAAGAAGATTGGTATAACACAACACGGTACGTTCCTGCACGTTCTACGGCCATGTTGTACATCTCACAACGCTTTCTCCTGCGGGCAAATGTGGTGCCACAATCTGTTAGTAGGTATGGTGGTGTCTCAGAAGAACAGATTCTTCAAAGAATGGAGGAGAAATTCCACCACTGAAACCGAACTTACAAATCAGATTGATTAATGAACAAGGACTCACTGGCGTGCAATAAGTACAGAAAATAAAATAGCAATCAATAGCAGTATATACTGCCCAGAATATTACATCTAAATCTACATCCGTATCTTTAATCAATCATCGTTTGGCTAGGAAAACTAAAGGAAAATCTCACGATTTTTGATTAGCGACATACATTTTTCACCATTTTGCCAAAATTGCAAGGCTTTTATTGGTTTTGGGGAACAACCTTTTTTGATGAGAAAATTGGCATAATTTCGGAACCGTTAGGCTAAAAATAAAACAAGTCAATGCTAGTTAGTTTATTGATAAATTTTATTTTATAGAGTTTCAACTCAAGATAAAAAGCAAATAAATAATAAATTTTAAAACTTTTTGTCAAGTTGTTGAAGTTGAAAATTGTCTGTTCGATTTCACCCTGTGTCTATACAGGGTGTCCCAATTCCTTCTGACGAAACTCAGGGAATCGATTCTATTCTTCGTTTGGAGCAAACAATGCCCAGCAGAAAATTTTCGGAAAGTTCTCTCCTTTGAAGATATTCATCAATTTAGGTTTTTTCAACTTTTCACTACCTTACCACATAAAAACGCTTACAACTTCCAAAATGTAGAGACTACAACAAATCCAATTACACCATTTGAAAGAACGCTAAAGCCAGAAATACACTTACCCGATGCTACACCATGCGACGCTACCCGACGCAAATCCAAACTCCGATTTTCCATAAGGTTGCATTACCCCCGTGCACAACTACCCGATGCTATGCCACGCTAACCTATCCCGCTCTGCGATCCCCACTGTCCAGATATTCGTAGGTTCGCATCGAGTACAGTCGTAGACAAAAGAACCGGACACTCATATTTTTATTCAAACAACATGTATTATTGTCGTTATATTAATTACAACATACTTATTTTAATATAAACCAAATTAACTGTGATTAAAAATTAATTAGTTTTATTTAAAAAATTAATTTTAATGGTTTGGTAGAAAATTACTCAAAACACCGGAATACGATTTTTTGATATAATGCATTTCACTAACAATTTATTGTACTCGCTTCGGCGGTACATATACTAAAATTGGAACAATTTATTACACGGTTTTGCTCATAAAATTTAATTAACAATTTAGTTCATAGTTTTGCTCGTAAAATTACACCATTTTAGAATGTCGGATAGCATCAGAACAGGACACTTATATTTTTTGTAGTTTATTTCAAACTAAGTACATGTAATTTTGTCGTTATATTAATTCCAACATGTTATTTTAATGTAAACCAAATTAAACGAGATCAAAAATGCATAAGTTTTTATAAACATTGTTTAATTACGATGGTTAGGAGTAACTTTATTTAAAACAACTAAGTTTAACAAACAATTTATTAGATGGTTGTGCCCATAAAATTTAACTAACAATTTATTACATGGCTGTACAAGGGTTTGCTCAAAATAGTGCATTAAGAACAAAAGATGCGTTGCGATTGTGATAGTGACATGTGCTTGCGTCGGATAGATGTGCACACCCCACCAAAACGTGGCAAGGAGTCGGAGAGCATCGGGTAGCGTCGCATGGCGTAGCATCGGGTAAGTGTGTTTCTGGTTTAAATTTGCCAATATCAGTTGGACATGTCAAAATTACAAAATTTAAAATTTTGGTCATGATTGCTACGTTGTACTGAGTTTACAATTAGTTTTGTAATTTTGACATGTTCCAACTGATATTGGCTAATATTTTATGTCATTCAGATTATTGCAAATAGAAGAATCTTACAGAAAATTTAGCGTTCTTTCAAATGGTGTGTTAAGCTGTTTTGTAATATAAAAATAAAATGAGATTTAGTTAAGTGGTACAGGTTCATCTCCCCGAAGACCTCATCAAGAAATTTCCCAATTTATTGCGTCATAACTTCAACCTTGTTATTTTCAACAAAATGACATTGGGATAGAAAATTTTTAGCGATAAATAATTGAATAGGGCATAGTAGGAATGTGCAATGCCTTGACCTATCGTGTCATAAGTGCATTAGACGTCACCTTGGACTTCCTGAGAG